TGACTGGCTCTTCAAATGTGAGATCTCACAGGAAGACACTCAACATGTTCTTTAGCGTGTGCTATAATCAGAATTCCTAGCCAGCAGCGAGGCAAGGGAACTCATTTATGTAAGTTAGGTATAAGTGTGGCTTGAATTTTTCTGTGTGACCACTGGATTTGTTTTCAAATGTTCTTTACAGATGAATACAAATGAAGGATCAGCTAGAAATCAATTAAATCATTATATTGTGTATCTATAAGGGGCTACTGTGAATCCTGAATCTCTGCTGTGGTAACCCTGGCTTTCTTGTTTTCTCTCTTCCAGATGAAAAGGAGAAGTTTGAGCCTACGGTTTTCCGAGACACAATTGTTCAAGGCCTCAACGAAGCAGGTGGTGATCTTGATGCTGTAGCCAAGTTTCTGGATGTCAATGGGTCGAGACTAGACTACCGTCGCTATGCCGACACCCTGTTTGACATCCTCATCGCTGGGAGCATGCTTGGTGAGCAGGTCCAAAAGCTTGTCACTCACATGACATCACAGTAATGGCAAACCACAACCATCTAACGATCCAATCAAATTCAAGCTGTTTCACTCAGCTATACGTTACAATAGGGAAGAAAAAACTATCACTTCAATTATTAGGGATGCACCGAAATGAAAATTCTCGGCCGAAGCCGAATAATAATGAAACGCTTGGCCGAATACCGAACATGGTGTTTCACGTTTTTTCCATTTTTGACAATTTCTTCACCATTTGATTAATTAAATGGTAAAAATGTGTGTTTTTTTTTTTTTTTTTACTATTTTTGTCTTGCTTTTCAGACAAAATTTACAAAAATCTCATTTTAAAATATTTATTTAACACTGAACTTTTTTTTAAATATTCCAGCAGATATACAAACAAAGCACAATACAACATCTATAAGTCTACTAAACAAATTATTTAAAAAAAATTAAATAAAAATGTATTTAGCAATTTTTGAAGCCCCACTTCTTGAATAGCCTATGTTAGGCCTGTAACTAACTGCTGAAAGTAGTTGTAACTCAACAAAAAAGTGCATTAAAATGTGGATGAACCCCCAAAAAAATAACTGTCCTAGACAACCCTACTTGTCCTACTACTTCAGAAAAAGTTGGAGTTTCGCAACTTTTCCCCACATCCAAGTAATGATCTTTATATCGTGGATTTTTTTTTTTTTTCTGTGGATCTTAATCTATTTATTTGTGAATTTGATATATTTTTGTGAATCTCTTTACATTTATTTGTGGATCATGAGCTATTTATTTTGAATAATGGAACAATCCTACCCCCATACACCAAGTCTCTGATTTGAAATCTCAGCATTCATACTCTGCATTCAGATCCTGAGAACATGTTAGCCTGTTGTTGTCATTCCATATACACAGTTTCTTTTTTTTCTTTGTGTATGCAATTTTGCTTGTAAATTTGCATTGAACTTTTTCGGGATTTTGTCATAAGGCAAAACGGTACCAATTACGTGACCTAAATCGCTCGCTGACAACTTTTGTGTCGCATATAAATTGCAGTTTGACTTAAAAGACCATTGATGCCTTGCCTTTTACCCAAGATGTGACTTATCATATTGTACAATCTGACAAGCAGCAATCGTAAAGGACAGAAATTTGCTTGGTGTACACTTATAGAGACTAGGTCTGATTGAGCCATCCTTTGTGCTGTTAGCTCGTACAAAGACACTACCATCTTTAGCAGAATAAGAGGTCATTAGCTCACTCTCCTGGGACAGCAGTCCAACACTTGCAGCACATCTTTGGATCAAAGCGTTTATACATGCAGCCCATCAATGTACAAATCCCATTGATGGTTAAAGATGAGGACAGCAGGGAATACACAACAGGATTTTTACCCTTTCTTAGTTGTCTCCTTGGAGCTGTCACAGCTGGGTGGAAATCTTCAGATCTTTTGCACATAAGCAGGCTGTGAGTGAGTGAGTGAGTGAGTGAGTGAGTGAGTGAGTGAGTGAGTGGGCGGCTTCTCTGTGGGACAGAAGCAGAGTGTTGAATTTAGTTGCAGATATGTGCAGAATGAGAAGCCAGTTTAGAGAACGGCATGAAGGAATATTATAATATTTTTTTCAAGGTTGAGTGTGTTATAATTGCATGTATTTAAAGGGGTTGTGAAGCACATATGCTGGCAGTTCACACAGCACGTAATTAGATAATAGCAATTTAACTTTAAAGTGCCCCTGTTATTTTAAACGCTAACATTTTTCTTCTAAGAAAACTTATTTTATTTCAGTTAAATGTTTTTTTTTTTTTTTAATATAGCAACAAATGTTTTCATTTGGATCTTTTGGCTATAATAACCCTGCTATACAGTATGTACAGGGGAATCCTCTGTGCGAGAACTGCTTCAATTCAGTGAGTTTACATTCTTCCTCTTAAACACTATGTACATTCTGTTCAGTCCATATAGAATTAGCTCAGTTTCAGGTATTGACATAGGTTGACAAAGACGGTCCCTTCCTGGAGACATCTAATTACAGCTAAAAGGTTTACTCTGGCTTTATATAATAGCATACAGAGCAGTGAGGGCACACGAGAGAGGACGGAGAGCACCCTGGTCAAGCATCCAGTCAGAAGTCCAATTACTCCATCGACGGTATAGAGCCCTGATGAGCAGAAGGTTGCCTTTAACTCTGTTAAAATAGAGATTAAGTCCAAATCCTCTGTTACGTATCACTAGACTTCCTGTTACACGTCACCTTTGCCCTTATAAGTCCTTAACAAAGGCGGATTTCCCCTGAACTCTGTGAAACAAGTGACATGAAAATGTACTTTTTACTTTCTTAATGCTGGTGTTATCAACAACGGATCATTTGTACATGCTTGTTCTTCATAATATTTCTGCAAAATGATCTGCCTCTGAAACTGATTTTCCTATATGGTTAATGCCATTAAGTCTTTTTTTTTTTTTCTCTTAAACCTCTGTCCTAAAGACATTTTGACAATCCAGTCAATTCCTGATGATTGAAATTAATTCCCAACATACTGTCAAGTAAAATACACTCACCTAAAGGATTATGTCATCATAAAAGGTATGTGTGGAAAAGAAAGGTGACTTAAACAATTTTGAGACTGGCATGGCTGTCGGTGCCAGACGGGCCAGTCTGAGGATTTTCATGCACAACCATTTCTAGGGTTTACAAAGAATGGTGTGAAAAGGGAAAAACATCCAGTATGCGGCAGTCCTGTGGGCGAAATGCCTTTGTTGATGCTAGAGGTCAGAGGTGAATGGGCCGACTGATTCAAGCTGATAGAAGAGCAACTCGTTACAACCGAGGTATGCAGCAAAGCATTTGTGAAGACGCAACATGCACAACCTTGAGGCGGATGGGCTACAAACGCAGAAGACTCCACCGGGTACCACTCATCTCCACTACAAATAGGAAAAAGAGGCTACAATTTGCAAGAGCTCACCAAAATTGGACCGTTGAAGACTGGAAATATGTTGCCTGGTTTGAGTCTCGATTTCTGTTGAGACATTCAGATGGTAGAGTCAGAATTTGGCGTAAACCGAATGAGAACATGGCTCCATCATGCTTTGTTACCACTGTGCAGGCTGGTGGTGGTGGTGTAATGGTGTGGGGGATGTTTTCTTGGCACACTTTAGGTCCCTTAGTGCCAATATGGCATTGTTTAAATGCTTCAGCCCACCTGAGCATTGTTTCTGACAGGATGAGTCATGCATTCTAGCAATTCTTCTCAATTTTAAGTGTGCAGTTACCAGTGACATTTTCTCAGTAAGGGTTAATGTGTGAATGCTGTGTTCTCGAAGAATTTACAGCATTAACCTGTAACCTCACTTTCCCTTTCTCAGCTCCCGGGGGAACGCGCATTGACGATGTGGACAAGACCAAGGTG